GTGGCTACAACACTTATTGGAGGGAAAGATTGTTTGCCTAACTAAATTTAAAAAGCAATATAAGATTTGAATAAATAACTACTATTACACCCAAATACGCAAGATTGACAGGGGAAGCAAAAACCTCCATCAACACAGATGTTGTTCATGATGATGCCAAGCCGTTTGCAGATTCAGCTTCCATATCTAGTTCGGGAAGATCAGATTCGAAGAATGTTGAGTGCAGAGCTCTGACACACTGCTCTGCTTCATTGTCGTTTACAATCAGTGAGATATTGACCTGATCAGTCAAACAGAAACTGCAAAGTCAGACATTTATTGTAATGATGTCACTCCAAATTCTCAACAAAAAAAAAAAAAGTAGAAGACCTCCATAAGCAACAAATGTGGTGAATATAAGATCAGAATCCAAGCTTCATCCCACCAATTTTAATGGAAAGCCATTTTGTGTTTAACATATTATATTGCACAATACGTCAATGCGAGCAATGATCCCCAAAGGTGACCATTTAAAGTTACTGGATAAGGAAATTTCAAATCATATTCAAATTTTGCAAGATTTCAGAAGTAGTGTTTAGGAAGCCCATGCTATGGTTAGTAGTAAATCCTAAGATAATAGATGTAAAAACAAAAGTAATCAAAGTAGAGTTATGGAGAGACCTTACGTGCACCCTGTGAGATCATCTGAACATAAGCCCATGTTACCGTGAGTAATAAACCCAAAGATAGTAGATGTATAAACAAAAATGAATGATGTAGAGTTATGAATGAGAGACCTTAGATGCACCCTGTGAGATCATCTGAACGTTGACTCCATTGGTTCGAAGAACATGAAATGCCTACCATAAGAAACACCGAAAACCAATATCACAAGACAGAAATATATGTATTTATGCATATACAGAGAAGATTGTTTGAGACACTAAGCAACATGTAGTACCATATAAACATCAAGACCAAGTAAAGCAGGGAGAACAGTTTAGCTTCATATAGAAACAGTTCTAGCACAGAAAATCACCAAACCCGACTCCCATTTAAAGTTCATCAAGGGAACATCAGATCACATGCCTGTCCAACAGTGAATGTCCAGAAATTTAATAACACAATAAAATCATTTAGTTTGTCCAGCATGACCATTCAGGACGGTCTAAAGACTGAAGGTATTAACACCCGTTCTTCCTCCATTCACAGTAGAAAGAAGAAACAAGGGTCCAGCCATGTGATTAAGAAGTAAATAATATTTCTTCTTTTTTAATCAAAACCTCCAAGCATTTAGAATCTTTTAGGGAACAAAAGAAGAGAAAGAACTGCTAAAAGACCTTTAAAGGAGAGAAAGAGAAAAGGAAATTCCAGAACATAATTTAGCCATAGAATTGAGTCTACTTCCACACAGCAAGTTGTTTCAAGTGAATGTCAGCCAGCCTCACTGCTAAGTGGCAAAGGTGTACCTTCTCCAGTATCAGTGAGGATCTTTGAACATTTCCAATGAGGGAAATGATTGATCTGTGCTGAAGGAGATTAACAACAGCAATCTTCTCAAGTTCTTCCACGACATGATCAAGTTCCTGTCAAAAACAGAAAAATAAGCAGATGAAAATGATTTAAACACTGATCAAGAATATATATTATTCCACAGAATAAGCAAGTTGGCAGAAAACAGGGCTACCATAGCTGCTGTAAATAAAATGCTCAGTTATAGCATATGAAGAACGAAGTCATACGCTTGCCTGCGGAATTAGTTCTCGGCTCCAAAGTTTTAAGAAAAACATGGTCATCGTAATTTTTGTTTCATTAGAGGCAACAACATCCAAGGATAAGC